CTCTCCATGTGTTTTGATTTGAACACAGCATCTGTTTTATCAGGTGCAATCTACTATTTGAAGGCTTACAGGGAATGGTAGTAGTTACGGTGAGAAGAAGTAAATTAATCAAAAATGTTTGCTTTCTGAAAATAATTTTGAAGTAGATATCCGTGGAATTTAGGTAATAACCAAATACCACAAAGAAAGTGGGCTTTGGGATAAGTCAGACCGGACTGTATACTCCCTAACACAGCAGAATTAAAGCTGAGAAACTAGACCAATTTACTTAAGAAATGTACACGCTCTCCTAAACACAATTTAATATTACTCATTCATTCATTCAAAAAGTATTTAGTACCTACCATATACCATACACTGTTCTAGGTATGGGAATATAGCAATTAACAAAACAACAAAACTTTCTATGGTGGGGAAGACAAACACATTTACAAATAAAAGAATGTAATATTAGAGAGTATAAAACACTATTAAAAATAAGACAGGGAAATATTAAGAAGGTTAATTTTACTAAGTAACTGCAAAACAAAACAAATTTAGATAGGATCACCATACAGGAAAACTATGAAAACCAAGTTCTGAAAAAACTGTTATATTGAAGGTTAAATTGGATCACTAAATTTAGTTGAAATTCAGCAAGAAAATAATATTCAAAATTTTTGTCAGAAGTAAATTTAGGTTGGAAATACTTAAAGAACAGCCAAGACTTTACAGAACTTTCAAAAATTTCCAATTTCCACTTTGATCAACTTCCTTTTGATCACAGTTGATTTAGATGCTTATGGGTTCCACCCCAAAACTGGTTAAGCTGCCTCATTGCCTTCCTTGGAAAATATCCATATACTTGTGGTCCCTGAAGGTCTACCTTAGAATTAATTAGAAGTGCATTCATTCACTGGCTGGTTGTGAAAACTATTTCAACTTTTTCAAGAAGACTGGATCCTCACCTACTTTTTTAAAGGTAGCAAATTAGAAGAAAAAGAATAAAGTACTGGAAACAGAAGATTGCCAATGTGGCACCATTCCTGTCTTAATGATCTATGTGACCCTGGACAAGTTAATTCACTTGTGACCCTGGGCAAGTTAATTCTCTGAGCCCACAATATTGGAATATTTTCCATGCCTACTTTACAGAGTTTTAGTAAGGACCAGTGAGATATTGTGGTATGCAGAATAATGTCTTTGTCCCCAAAGAAGTCCATGTCCTAATTCCAAGAACCTGTGAATAGATTAGGCTACATGGTAAAGGAGAAATCAGGCTGCCAATGGAATTCAGGTTGCTAATCAGTTGACCTTGAGATAGGGAGATGATCTTAGATTACTCAGGTAGGCCCAATGTAATCACCAGGGTCCTTATAAGAAGAGGGAGGCAGAAGAACCAGAGAGATTGTAGTGTGAGAAGAACTCAGCTCCACATTTCTTGCTTTGAAGTGGAGGACTAGAGCCAGAGGCCAAGGAATGTGGGCAGCCTGTAGAAGTTAAAAAAGGTAAATAAAAAGATTTTTCCCCTAGGGCCTCCAGAAGGAATGCAGCCCTGTGAATCCATTTCAGATTTCTGATCGTTAGGAATATAAGAAAATAAGTTTGTGTTAATTTAAGCCCCAAAGTGGTAATTTGTTAAAGAAGCAATTGGAAACAGTAATATACAAAAGTACTTTAAAATTGGTAGGAAATTACATAAATGTAAGATGTTATCATTCTAATATATTTCAGCTTAGACTTTCTAGCAGCCTTGATGGCAGGAAATTTGGTCACCAGTAAGTAGGTCTTCAGAGTTGAATCATATTTCCTTGTCAAAGGCAGATATCCTGCCTTTTCTGTTTCAGTGACTGACCATTTTTGCTTTTAGCTCTCATTTTGTCTATGAAGCAGGGTCGATTACCATGTAATTATCAAACCAACTCCAGCCACCTGCCTTTCTACTTTCCTAGTTTCTCTTCGATTACTCATTATTTTGATGTTCCCAAAGGGATTGTTAAGAAAACTTTTCAGAGTCACAATATTATAGCAAAATTATGTACAGATAAGTCCTACTTTCTTATGAGTTATTCTCTAAAAACATCTGTGCAAGGGAATATGCAAAGTATGTATCTAAACACACACACATACGTGTATATATATCAACACATATCAAGTTTTATAGTTTTTCCAGTTTAAATAAGAATGTTAATGGATTCTCTTCCATAGGTTAGCTTTATGAAGCAAAATTAAAATTTCAGGGTTAGACCAATCTTATTAATCCTAAATTTATAGAATAATATAGTAGTAAAAATTTGGGTGTTATATTAAGAGAATAAAACACAAATCCACATTTGTAAGTCTTCAAAAATTAACATTAATAAAGTTAAATTGACCCACAGTAAGAAATGTACTAACAGATTTATAATGGTTCTTAATAAAACAATATTTGTATTTAAAGCAAAACAGTAATACTTAACAGCCTTACATTAGTCCATAAATGACACTTTGCCCTACTATGTAATATTTTAATTTGATTGGAATTCTCTATCGAAAGATAAAAATAAGAGTTGCTCTTTCTTTCTAAACACCATGAAAATATGAACTAAGATGGAAGTATCCTACTGGCTAGTACTTAATAAATCTACTGGCCAAAACATTCCTCCTTATTTGGAACGTTTATTATACTGTTAACAAATGAGATCTTTTTCTGAATCTAATTAATTGTACACTTGAAGTATAGGGTGATATGTTCCTCTACTATGTTTGGGCCCATTTCACCCATAAAGTATTATAAATCCAGGATATGAAATAACTGGCATGGCTCTGTGCCTGTGTATCTTTGTGTATATATTTGTGCTTATGGTATTCTCCTGTTTTTTCTCACAAATATGTGTGATTTTGTTGGGTTAAAATATTAAGTATGAATTGAAAATGAAGTTTAGATGAGAAGCTTGAATATGAAGATATTATCAGCAGGTACACAAGTACCATCCCCTAAAATAAAAGATCAGAAGATAGCAATAAGAAATACAAAGGTATAATAAATTGTGATAAAAAGAAATAAGTCTGTCATATGTAAATTAATGTAAAAGAGCAGAAAAGATGGTGTTATTTAGAAATTAGAAATTTAAAAGTTTGGGTTGTATTTCATATTTTGGGGGTTTTCATGTCATTTTTCTAGTGATTACTTTTTATTTTATTTCATAAAAGTATTGGTCTATGACATATTGGAAAGTGAAAAACAAAAAAACTTGTTCTTTATCATGGGTAGCTTGAGAGGCACTGTTAATAGAAGTTAAGTTCTTGTTTCTAAAAATGAATTTATGCTAGTACTATAAAACAATACTTGAAAAACTTAATTATAATATATATTAAAATATGTCTCAAGCCATTTGTAAAATTACTTTAAATTACTGGGACTTAATGTGGTTACATTTCTTAAGACTATTTCATCAATCCTAGATCCAAT